ATACGTCGAATTTTCGAAGATCGCTGCAAACGGATGGCTTCGATCTTCAAATTCGTCGTAGATTCGGTGGCGAAACGAATTTTTCAACGTTCTTACGTACTTTACGAGAAGCACTTTAGAATAAAACGAACGATACTTTTCGTGAAAGAAGATGAGAGAAGCTGAGAGAAAATGAGCCCAGGTTTATTGTTCTTCCTTTTTTTTAAAATTACAACCTTTTGAATATTAATGGGAGTCACTGTACATGCTCGTAATTTCAGGACGTGCTTAATGATGATTCTCGAGTGACTTTAAACGCAATTGTGCGAATTATCGCGGAAAAATCTACAAATGAAAATACACATAGGTACATGTAGGTATACTACGATCGTTGAGCGTATGTTGTACGTTTTACACAGGAATCAAGGATACCATGTTCAAACGAACAGAGTACTGACGGAATAATACTCGATACGAACCATCGGGGATGGAAAAATGTTTTCTAAATTGACGTTCTCTCTACGTCATTCGGACTTATATAATATGATGCGTGCTCTCTCGATCATGTGATCAGTTGCTCTAATTCAACGTGGATCGCGGTTCTGTACAAACAAGTGTGTTCCTGGTACTTCGTTGCATTTGTCACAATCAGCTGACGAGCATTTATATATGAGAGGTAGGGTTAAATGCGCGTGACTGAAGTGGTTATTGAATTGTCCGAGATGAACGAGGAAAAAGAAAAAAAAAGATCTGGTCGATTCTGTAGATTTACAAACACAGTGTTTCATAAGCATAAATCACAGTTTTTTTTAATTGTGAACATACCCTGAGAAGATTAACTTCAGTTTTCCAAAATAAAATGAAATTTATGACATAAAACAGAATAATGGGAGAATTTTATCTAAGATTTTAATCTAAATGTTGGTCGAAAGTTGTAGTAAATTTTCTATTGTTCTGCAGATTCAGAAAGCTTCTTTCTCTTACATTTTATTCCGTGAAATATATTGAAATGAGGAACAACTGGATGAAATGAAACATTATTTTCATTTTACGGCAATAATCCAGAATCATTACTTTACAAGTTTCTCCGTACCTCGCTTATTGTTAGTGCAATTAAATCGAGAATATTTATTTCAGGATATCAATGACATTAAAGTAGCCATTAAATTTGCCACCATTTGCAACTACTTTTCAATTCCGAACTACGATTCCGTAACGTAACACGTTAATGCTTCGCTATCTTCGGAACGGAAAAAAACAACACCAATATCTATGAGAGACTGTTACTTCGAAAATAATTTCATGATTTATTCATGGAGTTTTTCATAATATTGCTAGAAACATTAGTGATAAATTAATTACTGCATTTATTTCGAGATAATGGTTATCAGTGTAGTGATACGATAGTACAGCGATACAGTGAATTGTCACACGGCTAAAAAATAGACAATTTTTCTCTAACATTTGTAACGCGTTCGATAATGAAATACGAACTTTCATTTCTTTAATTTCGATGAACACGAATGTCCGATGATATCGAACATTCTGCAAGAAGAAGAAGACTCTCAGCATCATTGCTAACATTTTCCAGAGTAAACAAGTTCTGCAAATATAATGCAATACAAAACGATTGATCATGTACATTTGATACCTCAAACATTATTAACATTTTAACTTCGATAAATGTCTTACTTCAACTGACCCAAGTTGTGCAGCATTCTCGCGTCGTTTGTCAGTTGTCCTTGACGAACTTCAAAGGAAAGAGAAATACTGTTTCGTTCCACTTATCACGTCACGTAACCTTTTCTTTTTTTTTTTTTTTTTTTTTTTTT